GGGCAAAAAGAAAAAAAAAGTGAAGAAAGCCTACATGAATTATGAGACAATATAAGCAAATTAAATTCATATTTTGAGAGTCCCTGAAGTAGAAAGAAGAGAAAAAGTAGAAAGATTTTTTAAAGAATAATAGATAAAAATTTCCCAAATCTTGAATAGGTATAGAAAGGCAGGAACAGAAAGCTAAAATGACTCAAGCAAGAACAATCTAAGTTTGTCCAAGACAAATTATAATTAAAATGTGAAAAGTCAAAGGAAAACTTTTGAAGCAAAAATTGAAAAGAAAAATTACACATATGGGAATCCATATAAGGTTATCAGGAGATTTCTGTGCAAAAAAAAAAAATGTAAACGAGGAGACAGTGAGGTGCTAAATTTAAAATGCCAAAAGAAAAAAACATGCTGGATAAGAAAACTATACATGGCAAAACTGTCCTTCAGAAATTAAGAGAGTTAAAGACATTCTCAGATAAACAGAAGCTAAGTGAGCTCATCACCTCTTGACCTGTCTTATAAGAAATCTCTAGGGATTTCATCAAAATTAAATGAAAGGACACTAACTTATAAAAACATATGAAAGTACAAAACTCACTGGTAAATGTAAAAACAGACTCATATTCAGAATATCTTACTACTGTAATGGTGGAAAATATTTTTATCTGTAGTACAAAAGCTAAAAGACTTGTAAAAGTAAAGTAAAAAGTTATAGTATTATAAATATTGTTACAACGATTTGTTAAAGGATGCACAATATAAAAAGATGCAAAGTGTGATGTTAATAGCACAAAATGTGGAGAATTAAATGAGAATTAGAAATGTAAAGCTTTAGTATGTGATTGAAGATAGGTAATTATCAGCTTAAAACAGACTATTATAGGTAATGGAGATTAAGGAGTGCACTTGTGATGAGCATCAGGTGTTGTATGGAAGTTTTGAATCACTATATGTATACCTGAAACTAAGATTACACTGTATTTTAACTAAATGGGAATTTAAATAAAAAAATTAAAAAATAAAAATAAAACTACCTTATACTCTGACAATTGCACTATTTACTATTATTGTATTTACCCAAAGAAAACAAAAACACTAATTTAAAGGGATACATGCACCCAGATGTTTGTAGCAGCACTATTTACAATAGCCAAGATATGGAAGTAGCCTAAGTGTCCAATGATTGATGAATGGGTAAAGAAGATGTGGTATATATATGCAATGGAATATTATTCAGGCATTAAAAAGAATGAAATATTGCCATTGCAATGACTTGGATGGAGCTAGAGTATAATACTTAGTGAAATAAATCAGAGAGAGGAAGACAAATACCATATGATTTCACTCATATGTGGGCCTTAGGAAATAAAACAAATAAGCAACAAGAAAAAAAGAGAGACAGAGAGTCAAATCAAGAAACAGATTTTTAATTATGGAGAACAAGTTGATGGTTATCAGAGGGAAGGTAAGTGAGGCAAGGGGTTAAATATGTGATGGAAATTAAGGACTTAACTTATTGTGATGACCACAGGGAGAAATATGGAACTACTGGAATACTGAATTATTATATTGTATACCTAAAATTAATATAACACTGTATGTTAAGTAACTAGAATTAAAAACTTAAAAAATAGGGATGCCTGAGTGGCTCAGTGGTTGAACATCTGACTTCAGCTCAGAGCATGATTCCAAGGTCCTGGGTTCAAGTACCACATTGGGCTCCCCACAAGGATCCTGCTTCTCCCTCTATGTCTCTGCCTCTCTCTATGTCTCTCATGAATAAATAAATACAATCTTTTAAGAAAACTTATAAAATAGACTATTGTATCTATAAAATGTTTTGTATAAGCCTTATGATGATCACAATGAAGAAAGAGAAACAAATCAAAGCACACCACTACCAATAAAATCACAACATACAAAATACAAAATAAAGCACAAAGAAAGACAGCAAGAGAAGAATGAAGAGAAAGAGAACACAAAAAAATAAAACCAGAAAATGATTAACAAAATGGCAATAGAAAGTTCTTAACTATCAGTGATTACTTTAAACATAAATGGATTTTCTCTAACCAAAAGACAGAGTGGAAAATGGATAAAAAGCAAGATCCAATAATAAACTGGCTATAAGAAGCTCAATTTACCTTTAAGGACATTTTTATGCCGAAAATAAAGGAAAGGAAAAAATATTCCATACAAATGGTAACCAAAAGACAGCAGGGTTTGCTATTCTTAAATCAGATAAAATAGACTTGCAATCAAATCAGTCACATACACACACACACACACACACTTGCACACAAACACACACACAAAAAAAAACAAGAAAAATGAATATAACACTTGTTTTAACTATATATGCACCAAATATTGGAGTACCTAAAAACTTAAGTAATATTGACAGACTGAAGGGATATATAGACAGCAATTCAATAATAGTAAAGGACATCAATACCCTACTATTAACATTGGATAGATCAATGAGAAAGTGAATCGGGAAGAAAATGGCAGGCCTGAATAAAACTATAGACCAAATGGACCTTCCAACTGGAACAAAATACACATTCTCCTCAAACACACATGGAACATTCTCTGGGATAAAACATATGTTGGCCCACAAAGCAAGTTTTATGAAATTTAAGAGAATTGAAATAAAATCTAATATAATTCCCATGCACAATGGTATAAAACCTTAAAAAAAAGCAGAAAAATTCACAAAATATGCAACTTAACATCATACTCCTGAACAACCAATGGACCAAAGAAGGAAAAACAAAATCAGAAAAGCATCTTGAAATAAACAAAAATAAAACAAAACAAAACAAAAAACATTACCAAAACATAAGGGATATAGCAAAAGTAGTTCTAAGTTTACAGCAATAAATGTCTACATTAAAAAAATCTCAAATAACCTAACTTTATCCCCAAAGAAAGTAAAAAAGGAAAACAAACTTAGTCCCAAGTTAGTATAAGGGAGGAAATAACAAAGACCAGGCAGAAATACATGGAACAGACCAAAGAGCCAAACGGGAAAAAAAATCAATTAAACCAGGAGTTGGGTTTTGAAAGGATTAAAAAAAAAGGCAAATCTTTAGCTAGACTAACAAAGAAAAAGTGATAGGACTCAATAAAATAAAATTATGAAAGAAAGAGGAGACACTAAAATTGATATAATAAAAATACAAAGTATCATAAGAGGCAACTATAACTATTATCTACCTACCAACTGCATAACCCTTTAGAAGAAATGAATAAATTCCTAGAGACAGACAACCTAGCAAGACTGAATCATGAAGAAATGGAAAACTTCAGCAAACCAATCACAACTAAAGGGACTGAATTTATTATTAAACCTTCTAACAAAGAAAAGACCAGAAGTAGATGGTTTCACAGGGGAATTCTATGAGATATTTAAAGAATTAATGCTTATATTTCTGACTCCCAAAAATTAAAAATGAGGGAACACTCCCAAACTCATTTTATAAGGCCAACTTTACTCTGATACCAAAGACAGGTAAGGACACTACAAGAAAAGAAAATTACAGGCCAATATCCCTGATGAATACAGATGCAAACTTTCTCAACAAAATACTAACACACCAAATTCAACAGCACATTAAAAGTATCATATGCCAAGATCAAGTGAGATGTATTCCTGGCATGCAAGTATGATTGAACCACAGAAATCAATGCACATAATACACCCCATTAATAGAAGTAGGGGTAAAACTCATATAACCCTCCAAAGTGATGCAGAAAAAAAATCTGACAAAATGCAACACACTTTTATGACAAAAGCTTTCAACAGTTTTGGTATGGAACAAACATATATCAATATAATAAAGGCTATATATGACAAACTTGAACTAATGATTTTCAATAGTGAAAAGCTGAAATCTTCCTATGAGATAAAAAATAAGACAAAGTTCTCCATTCTTACCACTTAATAAAGCATTAGAAGTCCTCGTAAGAGCAAATAGGCAAGAAAAAAGAATTAAAAGGCATCCAAATCAGAAAACAAGAAATAAAACTGTGGGGAAACGGAAAGATGTCGGTTAAGGGTGCAAATTTTCAGCAATAAAATGAATCAGTCTGGGGATCTAACGTACAGCATAGTGACTAAAGTTAATAATATATTATTTACTTGAAAGTTTCTTACTAAATGTTAAGTGTTCTTTCTATGTAAAGTGGTGGATGTTTTAACCTTATTGCAATCATTTAAAAATATATACTCATATGAAATCATTATATTGTACACCTTAAACTTACACAATGTTATATGTCAATTTATCTCAATAAATCTTGGGGAAAAAATTAAAGATAAAAGCTTATTCATTCTCCAATCTTATGGACATCTGCCATTTGCCTTTTTCAGAAGTTTCTTTTTTCTTTAGGATTCCAGTTAATTGTTCTGGTGTAGGTAAATTATTCAGGAATTCTTTAAATGTTTTCAATAAAGAGGGGTTGGTTGATTGTAACAATAACTGAACTGCAAAGGAACACACACTTGCACACAAGTGTGCAAGAAGACTTTACAAGAAGATGAAGAGAATTTAGCTAATGGAAAAGAACAAAACAAAACTAACTTCTTGACCCCATGTAAGATATGGTGTTAGAAAATAAGACCTGGATGTTCCATGCAACTGAAGAATTACTGAACTCTAATTGAATTTATTTTTTTAAAAAAGAAAAAACCTTAAGAGGGTTGCTCAGATGTATTTTGATTACAGAAATATCTCAATGGGTACAAGAAAGATTTGTAATATAGTATAGAGATGTGAAGTCAAGTTGAGAGAGGAGAATCATCAAGCATTATGTACATGAGAGTCCTGGAAATGACAGATTATTGAATGGACAGAAGAGTAAGAGGGGTCCAATGTTTTTGGATATGATACAATGAGAAGGGCTGATAGGATATTAACATACTTTCCATCTCTTTGAAACAAGTATTTCAAGAAATACAAGGAATTTAATGCTGAGCTACTATAAAATAGATTGCCTCTTACCTTGCAATCTAGCGTGCAGCATTCCCCAGAACCACATTGTTTACCAGTTTTTATTACACACGATCTAGGGTCACAGCAGGCTTTATGCGTACAAGTCTGTAAAATAGACAAATTCAAATGGTCTCTTCTCACATCAATTATGATAATTTGTCTTTTAAGAAACTTGCCAATTCCAACTAAATTGCCAAATTTATTTATACAGAGTAGTTTTTATATTCCTTATTTTAAACATATGTAGGATGTGCAGTAAGTAATGTATCCTCTTTTGTTCCTGATACTAGAAATTTCTTTTTTCTTTCATATCTCTTTCATCAGCACAGCAAGAGACCTATCAAATATTATTGTCAAAAGCACTGATTATTCATCAGCACAGCAAGAGACCTATCAAATATTATTGTCAAAAGCACTGATTATTGTCAAAGCACTGGCTTTTATTTTCATTCTCTGATTTCTATCTAATTGATTTCTACTTTTATCTTTATCATTATTTCCTTCTATTTATATTAGGTTTAACTTAGACTAGTATTTTAGTTACCTGAAGCATTCTAATTGATTTTTTACCTTTCTTCTTCTCTAATATAATCTTTTATTTCTATAGATTTTCCTTGTAATGTTTTAAATGAATCTCATAGATTTTGACATTATGTTTAAATGTACATAATGTTAAATCTATATCCTAAAATTGCTTTTGTAATTTTTTCTTTGAGCCAAGGGCCATTTAGAAGTTACAGTTTAATTTCCAAATATTGGGGGCTTCTTAAGATATTTTATTAAACTTGATTTCTAATTTAATTCTCAACATAAAATAAATATGTTGAGATTTATTTCATGCTTCAAAATATATTCTATCCTAATAAATATTCCAATTTCCTTTTAAAGGAATTATATATTTAAGTTGTTAAATATAGTAACCAATAAATATCATTACATTAAGGTGGTTTGTAGTACTGTTCAGGTCTTCTATATCCTTGCTTTTTTTTTCTAGTTGTTCTATCAGTTAATGAGAGATGCGAAATAAATCTCCAAATATGATAGTAGATTTTTAAGTTTCTCCCATTAGTTCTGCCAGTGATTGCTTCATGAAATTTGAAGATTTAATGTGTGTATATATGTAAATATGTTTTTATGAATTTATATATTTATTATTGTTATATCTTATGTATTTATCCTTTTATCATTTTGAAGCATTACTATATCTCTACACTATATATTAATATAGTCACTATAGCTCTTTTATATTTGCTGTTTGCTTGTTATATCCTTTTCTGTTCTATTACTTTCTACAATACAGAGTATTTGGGGTTAAAAAGAATCTCTTACTGATAGCATGTGATTGTCACTTGATTTTTATCTAGTCTGACAACCTTTGCCTTTTGATTAGAGTGCCTGTCCTATTTATATTTAACGTAATTATTAATACACCTGTATTTCAATTTGTTATTTTGCCATTTGTCTCTAGCTCATCTTGTGTTTGTTCCTCAATTTTTCCCTTCTTGTCTTATTTTATGCTGATGAAATATGTTTTGTATCTAGCCAATAAATCCTCTATTGGCTTTTTAGCTGTATGTCTGTATAATTTTTCAATATTTGCCCTAGGATTTACAGTTTCTTTGAAATACTATAATCTACTTAAAATTACTACCGATTTTCTTCAAGTAAATTATAGAAACCTTGTAACAGCTTTTTTCAATGTACCCTTTCATATTTAGTGCTGTTATATTATTATATAGCTGTAGATATGTAGACACAGGTATATACACATAAGTGTGTATATGTGCTTATGTATGTATATTAGTGTTTATATGCATATATACATATATTAATCCATTAACACATACATATCCATACATATATGGGTGTATATGTGCATAATAAATACAAATGTAAATAGATATTTATATGCACATATATGTATGGTGTATATATCAATGCATAGTGAATAATTATATGTATTTACATATTGTGCGTGTATATAATGTAGTTAGTAAAATTAACAGCAGAAAAGAAAAAGGACACATATAATTATTTATATTTACTCACATATTTACCAATTCCCTTGCTCATCCTCTTATAAATCAGACTGATCATCTATTGTGTTGGCCCTTCAGCCTAAAACATTTTAAAGTCTTAGAATTTTCTGTAGTGTAAGTTTATTGTGACATACTGTCTCAGCTTTTGCTTAACTGAGAATAATTTTATTTGCTTCCACTTTAAAAGATAACTTCTTTGAATATAGATATCTTTTTCCTTGATCTTTTTTCTTTCAGTATGTTTGTCATTTAAAAGTCTACTGACCTCCATGACTTTTAGGAAGTTAGCTATATTTTGTATCATTGTATCCTGTACCTAATATGTCATTTTTTTAGGCTGAAATTAAGTTTTCCTGTTATCTTGGGACTCTGGGGGTTTTATTGATCTGTGTATAGAAGTGGAGTTTTTTCGTGCCTATATACTTATAGTTTAACGAGCATCTTGGATTCATAAGTAAATGTTTTCCTTCAAATTTGGAAAATAATCAGCACTACTCCTACAAATTTTTTTCTGTCACCTATTTTCTCTTTCCTTTATCTTGAAATCCAATTACACTTACATCGGGCTTAATATTTCCTCTCAGGCATCTAAGGTTTTGTTGTTTTTCTTCAACTCTTTTCCTCTCTGTTCCATAGATTATATGTTTTTATTGTTCTATTGATCAACTTCATTGATTATTCTGCTTTTGGTCAAGTTCATTAATTCTTCGGCTTTTTGATTTATTTCAGTTATTGTACTTTTCATTTCTAGACTTTAAATTTATATGGGTTTTTTTTATAGTGAACTTCTACTATTGATATACTTTAGCTGCTCATTCACAAGGATAATTTTTTTCCTTGAATTATTTGAGCATAATTTCCTTTAATGCTCCTAATATATTAAAAAATAACTACTGTGAAGTCTTTATCTGATAAATACAATATCTTTGACTTCTCAGAGTCAGTTTCCCTTAACTGCATATATTTCCTAAATCTGGTTCACATTTTCCCAATTCTTTGAATGTCTAGTAATTTTTGGTTAATAGTTAGATTATAGGTACAACAATATAATGCCTGTATTCAGCTGTATCCTTCTAGATGCTTTTTGTTTGTTTATTTTTTGCCCAGGAGGCAGTTAAGCAACCTGGGTACAAACTATAAACTTTATCTCTCCAACAACTATCTCTGCTCAACTCATATGGCTTCTAACTGCTGAATTTTTAGCCTGATTCTCTGGTGAATGTGACATTCAGCCAAGGATTTAGGCAGAGAGAACACTTAGGTTTCAGAGTACAAATTATCTGTAATTTCCTCATTTCTTAAGGTTTCTCTTTAATTTCCAGTTGCAGTCCCAAACACACAGGGCTCACCTGGGGCACCTATATCTTTAAGAGTCTCATCCTATTTTTTTGTCCTATAGGGTAATTCTGGGCCATGCATATTTTAGCAGTAAGCCAAATATGTGTAAAATTGAACATCAGATTTTAGGTTGTACCACTTTCACAGTTTCTCTCACTTTCAGGGTTTTCCCCTGTATTTCCAGTGATTTTCATCCCTGAAATCTGTTCTCCTCTCACACTGAGTCATAGAGCCACAATTTTCTATAGCTACATTTTTATATTTTCTACAGGTGATAGATTTTTTTAAAAATATACTTTCAACTGGCATCATCTGTCAATAGAAAGCTTTCTGCTTTATATAGCAAACAATGCATTTTGCAATTCCACTGTTAACAGTCTATTGTCTTTAGATATTCCTGTCTTTGTTATTGTTTGTATTAAGGGTATATCTCAAATCCTTAGACACCCTTCGTGATAACTAATTATGAATTTGGAGTTGACACATACACTAAATATCAGAAGGCAATCTATGAAGGTAAACATTATCTAAAAGGCTTTTGGTACCACTTCAAAAAAAAAGGCAAAAATCAGAAACTTGAAGGCTTCCATCTTCCCCAAAGTCGATCTTTTTCCATTTGTTTTTCTAAGAAACAAGGTCTTCATCTTTTTTACCTGTTATACACATATATACACATACTTTTTACCTATATACAGATACATATAGGAATTTTTTTAATTTAAAATTTTCTACTAACCTGTATAGTGCCACAATCACATTGTTCACCTTCTTCCAATTTCCCATTACCACATACTCTCCTCTGTCTTTGTTTATAAACTGGTATTTCAGGAAGGATGTTCTGAAGACATTCAAAGCCAGAATGTGAAGCTAAGTATTTGAAGTCATCCAAATTACAGGTGCTAAACTCCTTTACACCCCCAGACTGCCTAAAATATTTTTAAAAAATGGATATGACAAAAATTATTGCTGTATATCTGCATTTCCACTAATGTATGGTATTCTGAAAAGAGATTTAAAAAGCATTGTGGGGGAAAAAAAGCACATTTTTTAAAATATTCACTGCATTGCAAAACATACTATTGTTGTATCACACATTTTAAGTTTCACCAAGAAAATTATTGTAATGAAAAAAAATACAAAATCTTTTTATTGTCATCCATCCTGTTTTTAAAAAGTCACAGTATTTTTTTTATCTATCTTGTGACCATTATTAAATCTGTAAATATAAGCACTGTGTTCATTTTATTTACTTTCCCAATGCCAAACAACTGAATTTTAAATTTGAAACCTCAGTATTTAACATTTTTTAAATTTTAATATGATTTTAATATAACAAAATTCTTGTAATGATAATATAAACATGTTTGTATTAATTTTAATAGTATTTTAGAGCTTTTGCTCAACATAATTGAACATTTCAAATAAAAACCTGTTGACACTGAAGAAATACAATCCTAAGAGATTACAAATAATTATATGCCAACAAATTAGGCAACCAAATGCCCCCCTTAATACCCATCACCCAATTGCCCCATCCTTCTGCCCACTTCCAGCAACCCTGTTTGTTCCCTATTGATGAGTCTCATATTGTTTGTGTCTCTCTCTTTTTTATCTTATTTTTCCTTCCCTTCCCCTATGTTCATCTGTTTTGTTTCCTAGATTCCACATCTTAGTGAAGTCATATATTTTTTTCTGACTGACTTATTTTGCATAACCTAATACACCCTATGATGACAAGTGATATGGAGCATTTTTTCATGTGCCAATCAATGGCTATGTGTAGGTCTTCTTTGGAGAAATGTCTGCTCATGTCTTCTGCCCATTTCATGACTGGATTGTTTGTTTTCTGGGTATTGAGTTTGACAAGTCCGTTATAGATCTTGGATATTAGCCCTTTATTTGATATGTCATTTGCAAATATCTTCTCCCATTCAGTGGGTTGCCTTTCAGTGTTGTTGACTGTTTCCTTTGCTATGTAGGAGCTTTTTTATCCTGATGAAGTCCTAAGAGTTCATTTTTGCTTTTCTTTCCCTTGCTTCTGGAGATGTGTCTATCAAGAAGCTGCTGCAGCTGAGGTCAAAGAGGTTGTTGTTGCCTGTGATTTCCTCAAGGATTTTGGTGGTTTTCTGTCTCCCATTTATGTCTTTCATTCACTTTGAGTTTGCTTTGTGTATGGTGTAAGAAAGTGATCCAGTTTTATTCTTCTGCAGGTGGCTGTCTGATTTCCCCAACATCATTTGTTGAAGAGACATTCTTTTCCCCCCACTGGATATTCTTTCCTGTTTTTTCGAAGACTAGTTGACTATAGAGAGAACTGAGGATCCATTTTTGGATTCTCTAGTCTCTTCCATTAATCTATGTGTCTGGTTTTGTGCCACTACCATACTGTCTTGATGATCACAGCTTTGTAAACAGCCTGAAGTCTGGAATTCTGATGCCTTCAGTTGTGCTTTTCTTTTTCAACATTACTTTGGATGTTTGGGGTCTTTTCTGGTTGCTTACAAATTTTAAGATTCTTTGTTCTGGCTCTCTGAAAAATGCTAGTGTTATTTTGATAGGGATTGCATTGAATGTGTATGTTGGATAGCATAGACATTTTAACAATATTTGTTCTTCCAATCCATGAACATGGAATGTTTTTCCATTTTTTGTGTCTTCTTCAATTTCTTTATACATTCTACAGGGTATAGATCCTTTACCTCTTTGGTTAAGTTTATTCCTAGGTATCGTATGGTTTTCGGTGCAATTGCAAATGGGATTGATTCCTTTATTTCCCTTTCTGCTGCTTCATTGTTGGTGTATAGAAATGCAACAGACTTCTGTGCATTGACTATATCCTGTGACTTTACTGAATTTTCCTGTATCAGTTCTAGCAATTTTGGGGTGGAGTCTTTTGGATTTTGCAAGTTCCTTGTGATATGTCATGGAATTGACCTCTTTTTGTTGATTTTGAGGGGAGTTCTCTGTTCTTTTTAGACTTGAATGCCCATTTCCATCCCCAGATTAGGGAAGTTCTCAGCTATAATTTGTTCTAATAAACCTTCTGCCTCTTTTCCCTGCTTTTCTTCTTGGACTCCTATGATATGGATATCATTTCACTTTATGGAATTGCTGAGTTCCCTAAGTCTATCTTGGTGATCTAACAGTTTTCTCTCCCTCTTCTTTTAAGCTTCATTATTTTCCATAATTTTATCTTCTTATATCATTAATCCACTTTTCTGATTCCTCCATCCTTGTGTTTGTGGCTTCCACTTGGGACTGCATCTTGGTTATAGTATTTTTAATTTTGGCCTGGCTATATTTTAGTTTTGTTATCTCCACAGTAAGGAATTCTCTAGTGTTTTCTATGTCGTTTTCAAGCCCAACTAGTATCCTTATAACAATCGCTTTAAATTCTACTTCAGACATCTTACTTATATATATATTGGTTAAATCCCTGGCCATGTGTTCTACCTCGTGTTCTTTATTTTGGGGTGAATTCTTCCATCTCATCTTTTTGTCCAGAAAGGAAAAAAAAGAAAGAGAAAGAAGATCAAACAACAACAACAACAAAGTAAAACAAAGAAAATGGGGCAGCGGGGGTGGGGGGACAAGAAAAACAAAAAACAAGGTGTGTTTTGGTCTGCTTGTTAAAAGAATCTAGGTCCCAAGATAAAAAAAGAAATGAAGTAAGATGGAAGTAAGAAAAAAACAAACTACATATATGTGTACATATATATATAACAATAAAACTTTTAAAATTTAATAATAAAAGATTTAAAAAGGAATCAGAAAACATAAAATAAATGAAAAAAGAATAAAAGAATAAAAGTAAAAAGGAAGCTACATCCTACTTCCCCTAGAGCTAATGCTTGCAGTACTCTGTGTCCAATAATCTTAGTGTGAGCTAGTTGTTTGTGCTGGCATTCTGGGAAGAGCCCTGCTGTGCTGATTCTCAGGCTGACTTGTTTTGGTGGGAATGCATTTCCAGGGCACAGGGGGCGGCAGAGCTAAGTGTAGGTGGCCATGGCCTTCACTAGGTGGTACTGTTTTGTTTCCTGAAGCCTTTCAACACTGATGGTGGGGATGAAAATTGCTGTGACCAGCTTTCTAGCCTCCAAGCTGGAAGTTTGTACCTCCTACTCTTCAGTGAGCCCTCACAGAAGAGCAATCAGTCACATCTGTGTCCCCGGTTTCCATCTGAACCCTATGTTCACCCTGCCTGTGTCCAAGCCTTTCTATCTCAGGCATGCAACTGAGTTTCAAAACTCCAAATTTCAGGAACTCTTGTGGCATGGACCTGCACTGTTCCTCCTGGGGAGGATGTCACCATGCATGCCAGTCAGTCCCAGGAAAGTAGTCACACGACCATTTAGCAGTTCGAAGTTTATAGCAGAAAGCTGGCAACAAGACTCACTGCTCTCATCCCAGGAAAACTGTTGCACGACCATGCCACAGTTCATAGTTTATAGTAAAAGCCAGCACTAATATCTGCTCCTCTCCTCTGGCTTCCTGGTTCCCATGCCTGGGAACAGTGCATCAACTTGGCACCACCCATTCTTCCTGCATTCCAGGGTATCCTCAGTGCACCCTGTCACTCTTGGGATTCTATCCTTCTTTGCCATCTAAGGAGCTTTAAGCCAGGCACATTCCAGACAGTAGCAAACTTCCAAAGGTTCAGATTTTGTGCTCTGCAGCTTCTAATACCTTGCAATAGCAGCTATAAGCAAGTTCCCTCCCTACCATCAGATCCACAGCTTTATCTATCCCAAATGAACTTACACACCTCTTACCTCCCAAAATGTGGCCATTTTTCTACTTAAGACTCGGCAGATTTTGTTCTTTCAGAATCTGATTGATTTCTTGGGTGTTAATAATGATTTTATAACTATCTGGCTGTGTTTGAGGAACAGGACAATCACAGGGTGCCCCTACTCCTCCCACCTCTTACCCTACCTCCCCCTTACCCCTCCCCCTGGAGAGAGAAACTTAAGCAGGCTCCACACCAGGGTCAAGTTCACAATCCTGAGATCATGACTTGAGCCAAAATCAGGAGTCAGGTGCTTAATCAACTGAGCCCTTAATTTCTAAATTCTTGACATTATAGAACTAAATTGAATTTTATTAATACTCCACTCTTACATTTCTTATCAACAAATGAATAAAATTCATGAGCCAAAAGCTCAAAACTAAAAACAGGGAAAATCTTATAAAACTAAATATGGATTCCAACATTAACAGCTGAACAGAGAATGTGATTCTAAATTCTTGGCAGATGCCAAAGTTCTGTAGAAACTAAACACAAATTGTTTAAAGCTGGAAGCCCTGGCCAGAAATTACACAGTTAGAACATGGGAAAACAGCAGAAAGGGGTTGTAAGTGAACCTATACTGTTCTAGCTGCACTTCATGTCCTTCTCAGAGGAAACCCCAGTATTGATTAGGTTTGGGACAGACTAATACTGACAGGGGAACCTAGTAATAGTAACCTGCCTACCAGAAAAGCTTTCCACTGGACTGGCAATACAGCAAATGAACTAGCAATGAACGATCTGAAAATGAAATAAAGAAAACAATTCTATTCATAATAGTAAAAAAATAAATAAAAAGGAATAAAATATTTGAAGATAAATTTAACAAAATAAGTACAAGATATGTAAACTGTAAAAAACAATATATTGCTGAGAAAAATTAAAGAAGACCCAAATTAATAAAGACATATATCATACTCAAGGATTAAAAGACTCAACATTATTAAGATGGCAGTTCTCTCAGTATTGGCCTATGCAATTAAATAACACAATACTTACCAAAATCTTAGCAAGAGTTTTCATAAAAATTAGAAAGCTGATAATAAAATACACATGAAAGTACAAAAGATTAATTAAGTGAGGGAAAGGATGATCTTTTCAAACAATGACATTGGAATAACCAGAAACCTACCTAGCAAAAATAAAAAGGAACTTAAACACATATACATAATTTATTCAAAATGTATCATAAAAATTAATAAAAGAGCTATAAAACCATGATGCAAAAAATTGATAAATTATACTTCATCAAAAAATTTTTCTCAAAAAAGGCACAATAAGAAAGAAATATTTGAAAATCAGGTATCTGGTAAAGAACTCCGAGCCAGAATATAATCAATCCTTACAACTCAATAAAAGTGTGAAAATTTCTACTTTGTTTTTCTCTAAATTGACAGGATTTTTGAATAGGATCTTCAAAGAAGATATACAAAGCTATTAAGCATGATAATATGTTCAACATCATTCAATATCATTAACTTAGAGAGAAATGCAGGTTAAAACCACTATGAGATAACGCTACACACCAACTAAAATAATTTAAATTGAACATACTAAGCACACCAAGTCTTTATGTGGAAGAACCAGGACTGGCCACATAATTTGTGGGAACCCAAGCAAAATGGAAATATAGGGTCCCCTACTTATAAAGCAGGGAAAATATATTATTAATGTTACTAAAATAAAGTGTTTTCCTTTCCTCAGCAGTCTCTCTCAATGGGTCATGGTGTTATTTATTTACAATTTAACGTCTTTCTAAATAAAACAATTTACTTAATTGTTAATATGAATTGTACTGTTCATCCTTTATTGTACAATGCCAGTTTTAAATGGAATTATCAAAGCATTTAGCTTTATGCGGCATTACTGAATTTACACAATTCATATGCTTTTTCCCTAGAGGTTGCTTTCAATTTGGCCAAGGGAGAAAAATACAAGCCAAACTCCAAAATTTAGGAAGGAGGAAGAGTTTCATCAGCCATGGAGAGGCCTGCAAGAGTGTTGGTCCTATTTTGGCATGTGTTCCATTGTACTTGAAAAGAATGTATTCTATAGTTGTTGGGTATAGTGTTCTGTAAGTGTCAATGCAGTTTGGTTAATAGAAGTATAAAAATTCCTCACCAAAACAAACAAAAATTTTTAAAGGAATATGTGCAATAAAGAAAATTATCTTACACTGCTTTACGTGACATTGTGCAAACATCTCCTGAACAATAGCAAATGTCAGGATCATCATAACTCAATCCCAGATTAAAGCCAAGCAACTGCACGATACTGACAGTGTATGACTCCAAGGATAAACCCTCTGGATACTAAATATAAGGAAAAAGAAAAGAGTTAGCTAAGAATCTTATACTATTCTATAATAAAATTACTATAATAAAAAGTTAGTATATGCTATGCTAAATAATAAAAAATAGTACATAAACTCATTTTTAAAATCAATGCATTCAAAATGCCTATGTAGATACAACTGTAGTAGAGTTATATAAGCATATGGACCATAGACATTAAATATGGATGAGTGAACAAATAGTTTAATTTCAAAATACAATACTTAATGACAATACTAGCTACCTAGCTAATCTAACAGAGTCTCAAACACCATACTGTATTAATTCTTTGAGTCATTTTAAATAAAATGACTTTAATCTTTTATTTTTAACAATCAATTGTACATTCTCTTTGTAGTAGGCAGCCTCTGACATGAATCCCAATGATCCACTTCCTGGCATTCACATCCTTGTGTATTCCTACCCTGTGTGTATAGGTTGGACTTACTTTCTTCTAATTAACTAAATGTAGCAGAACAGATGGCTCATCATTTCCAAGATAGATTATAAAAAGACTGACTTCCTGGTTTCCTGTGTGATGTGGTAGAAGAAAAAAAAAAAAAGACTGACTTGGATTCTAAGTCTCACTCAGTCTCTCTAGGTGAAGCCAGCTGTGACATCATGAAGTAGGCTTGTAGAAAGGCCCACATGCATGAGTTGGAAACAGATTTTATGAGATCTGCTATAGAAAAATGACTAACTTTGGAAGCAAATCCTTTCTATGTTGAACCCTGAGATAATTACAGCACTCCTTGACACCTTGACCTCATGCACCTAGACTCTTGGCCCACATAACTGAATTGTTTTCATCTGCTAAGTTTGATGTAATAGGTCACACAGCAATAGAAAATTAATAACCCTCATGAAGTATTGTTCTCCTTTGGATCATTTCCAATTTCTACACAAAGATGTTTATAGAAGCTTCATTCCTAATTCCCAAAACTCACAAGCAACCACGATGCCCCTCAATAGGTGAGCAGATAAATAAACTGTGATCTATTTCAGACAATGGCATATTATGCAGCATTAAAAAGAAATGAGCTATCAAGTCATGAAAAGAAATGCAGGAAGTCTAAGTGCATATTACTAAGTGAAAAAAGCAAGGCTACATACTGAATGATTCCAACTACATGGGAGTCCATAAAAAAAACTGTGGAGACAATAAAAAGGTCCATTTTTGCAGTCAGGGAGGGGAGAAATTAACAGGCAGAACATAGAGGATTTTTAGGGCAATGAAAATATTTTGCATAATAATACTATGATAATGGAGAACTATCATCTTTTGTCCAAACTCATAAACAATGCCAAGATTGAGTCCTAATGTGAACTATGGACTTTGGGTGATTTTGATGAGTCAATGTAGGTTCATCCTTAGTAAAATATATACCATTCTGGTGAGAGATGTAGATAATGAGAGAGGCTGTGCATGTGTGTGGGCAAGTGGTATATGGGTAGTCTGTCTTACCTTTCACTCAGTTATGTGGTGAACGTAGACTGTTCTTAAAAAATAGTCTTTAAAAAGGTGATGGGTTCCTTATGACCCAGGCTACAGTGGCAAATAAAGAACTATTCAGAGAAGGCATCCTTAATCCATAATATGTCTTGCTTTCATGTATATAAAGACTCATTATAGGGGATCCCTGGGTGGAGCAGCGGTTTAGCACCTGCCTTTGGCCCAGGGCACGATCCTGGAGACCAGGGATGGAATCTCACGTCGGGCTCCCTGCATGGAGCCTGCTTCTCCCTCTGCCTGTGTCTCTGCCCCCCCCCTCCATCTCTCTCTCTCTCGGTGTGTGGTCTATCATGAATAAATAAATAAAATCTTTAAAAAAATAAAAAATAAATTCCTTTAAAAATTTTTTAAAAAATAAAGACTCATTATATACGAGGTACTTTAATTTAGTTATGCACTGGTCTACAAGGATTCCTTATACTTCCACTTGTGTTTCTCCCTTTTACTATCATAATAAAATGCTTTCTTTGCTGTTTAGCACAACTTATGCCGTATTCTGTAATTTCATTATCCCTGAAATTTGGTTATATGAATCAAATTGTATTAATGGGTTAATTGCATTCGTTACAGAAATGACTTTAATTTTCTGTATTGTGATGTTTAGATATCTGGGGCCTTGCCAATGCTAGACTCCTCCCAGGGCTACCCAATTAAGATAGTAAAACAACTTACCTGCAAGTGTGCCTTTCATATGGAAACCAATCAACCTAGAGCCCATATACCCTACCACCTCTTTTATGAGGCTCACATACTCAGGCCACTCTCCACCTGCCAAAATCAGGTACTAGAGCCAGATACCAGAAAACTAGACACAGTCTCTATGCAAGAAAGCCTGCCGAAATTATTCAAACTAGCCAAACCTATGCCTGCTTACTTTGCCTTACCCATTCCTCCCTTAAAGAACCAACAAAGGCTCTGGTCCACATTTCCTCCATGCTCCCTTTGCTGCCTGAACAACCCTAATGCTTCCTTCTATGGCCCTTGCAAGGCATGCCTTCTGTTTCTAGGGAACTATATGTTAAACTTCTTCCTGCATTACCATGTCTGCATGTCTTCTAATACCTGATGAAAATAAACTAGATTAGTTCTACTTTAGTCCAGTTAGTTAATTCAAACTAGACTACAACCAAATTAGTTGCAAATATATACTGTAAACGCTATGACAACTGCCTAAGGAGTTTTTTTTAATATAATTGATATGCTAAGAGAGGAGAGGAAATAGAATCCCATGAGATGTACAATTAAAACTACAGAAAGCAAAAAATGAGACAGGAAGATTTTAAGATTTTTTAAAATTTATTTATGATAGACATAGAGACAGAGAAAGGCAGAGACACAGGCAGAGGGATAAGCAGACTCCATGCCGGGAGCCCAATGTGGGACTCGATCCCGGGACTCCAGGCCCACGCCCTGGGCCAAAGGCAGGCGCCAAACCGTTGAGCCACCCAGGGATCCCTGAGACAGGAAGATTTTAAAAAGAAATAAGAAACCAGGACAGTGAATAAAAAAATAGATAAAATTCAACATCCATTTATGATTAAAATATCTCAACAAAGTGGGTATAGAGGGAATATACCTTAACATAATAAGGGCCATATATGACAAGCTCACAGTTATCATACTCAAAGGTGGAAAACTGAGAGCTTTTCCTCTCAATGGGATCCTCCACAAGGATCCCATTCCTGTTACTTTTATTTAACAAAGTATTAGAAATATGCAAATAATGGAACTGGACTCCTATTTCACACCATTTACAAAAATGAACTCAAAATGAACTAAATACTTACATGTAAGAAATGAAATTATAAAACTATTAGAAGAAAACATAGTGAAAAAAATCTTGACATTGGTCTTGGCAATAATTTTATGGATATGACACCAAAACCACAACAACAAGTTTCATTACTATAAAAGTTTCTGCATGGAAAAGAACCAATCAATAAAACAAAAAGGCAACTTAGAGATTAGGAAAAATGGGTTTTTAAAATACAGATCTGATAAAGGGTTAATATCCAAAATATATTAGAAACTCACACAACTCACGATCAAAGCCAAATAAGAATTCCTGTATTAGGAACTCATACAACTGATAAAGAAATGGTCAAAAAATGGTGCCTGGGTGGCTTAGTCAGTTGGGCATCCAATTCTTGATTTCAGCTCAGTCATGATCTCAGGATCATGAGATTGAGCTCCATATTGGGCTCTATACTCAGCATGGAGTCTGCTTCTCCCTCTCCTGCTCCTCCTCACCACTCTCTCTCTTAAAAAAATAAATAAAATCTTTTTTAAAAAAATAAATGGTCAAAGGACCTGAATAGACATTTCTCCAAAGAGAATATTCAAATAGACAACAGGTACATGGAAAGATACATGCTCAGCATCACTAATCATCAGGGAATTACAGGTATCATTTCACATCTATTAGAATGACTATTATCAAAAAGACAGATAATAAATGCTGGTGAAGAAAATGGAACCCTTGTGCACTGTTGATAAGAATGTAGATTGGTACCAACAATATGGAAAAGTGTGGCGATTCCTGAAAAAAACTAAAAATAGAGCTGTCATATGAATCATCAGTTCCACTTCTGGGTATATATACCTGGAAAAAAGAAAACCTCTGTCTCAAGGAGGTATTTGTACCCTATGTTCATTACATCCATATTTACAACAGCCAAGACATGATAACAACCTAAATGTCCACTGATAGATGAATGGAAAAGGAATATAGTGACATAGTAATAATACAATTGTATTATATATTTGTATTGTATATTTGAAAGTTGCTAAGAAAGTAGATCTTAAAGGTTCTTATCGCACACACACACACACACACACATACACCACATACACACACATAGCAACTGTGTGAGATGATAGATGTGTTCATTAACCTAATTATGAAAATATTTCACAACATACACATATATCAAATCATTATGCTATACGTCTTAAACAATATTATGTCAATTATATCTCATTAAAGGTAGAAAAATGGATCTTATGTATAAATTCAGCAAGATTAAAAAAATCAGCAAGGTTATATATACAAATATGTATAAAAATAGACTATATATATATGTATATATATATATATATACCCTAGCAGTGAAAAATTAGAAGATGAATTTAAACAATCAATATCAGTTATAACAGCATCAGGATATATAAAATAGCTATGAATAAATTTAGCAGAAGATATATGAAATCTAAGAGAATTTTTATTTTAGAGAATTTTTATTTTACTTTTATTTTTTTTAAGATTTTATTTATTTATCCATGAGAGACACAGAGAAAGAGGCAGAGACACAGGCAGAGGGAGAGGCAGGCTCCATGCAAGGAGCCCGATGTGGGACTCGAACCCAGGAATCCAGGATCATGCCCTGTGCCAAAGGCAGGCAGGCGCTCAACCGCTGAGCCACCCAGGTATCCCTCTACAGAGAATTTTTAAAAGACATCAATAAATGGAGAGATAAATCATGTTAGTGGACACTGGAAGATCCAATGTTGTTAAAATAAATTTCCCCTAATTTATTTATAAATTACACACCATTCCAATCAAAATCTAAGTAAGCCTCTGCATCTGTGTATCTGTGTGCCTGCATGTAACTAGAAAAGCTGATTTGACAACCTTTATGAGAATACGAAGCTATATATAGACAACAGACAAAGAACAAAGTTGGAGGACTTTATCTTGATTTCAAGACATTTAATAAGGCCACCATATTCAAGGAAGTAATTATTTAATTATTTTGTCACTTTAAAAAAGCCTCTTAAAATATTATGATTGGTAGCTATCTTTCTGAAATCTAATCTTCAAACTCTTTGTTGCTAATATTAACAAAAATAACATGTTTACATTTATATTTTAATTTTATAATGATATTTTTACAGTATTCTTGCTAAACTGATATTTTCATCTTTTTTATTTACGAATTTCTATTTTAAAAATGCCAATCAAAATTAGTCTTAAGAATGGCATCAGGAAAATACACATACTAACCTCTTTTTTTTTACTAACCTCTTATATTCAATAATTCTTATCACCTGCTTTATTTGCTTTACACACACACGTGCACAATCTAAAAATTAGTCCTCAGCAATGAAACATTGTTTTCAAGAATTAACAACAGTGATGAAGACTTGGACAATTTCTGATGGTCTTTCCTCAAGCTTTGGCTAAAGGAAGACCAAAAGCAATCACTGAGAATAAAAACAAATCCCTATAAAATGTCTGTTCTCTTAGCCATGGTAACAAACCCAGACTGGTTTTGGATTTATCTAATCAATCAATATGTAATTTATAGGAAAGATAACAAGCAGATATCAGAGCTGATCATAAGTATCTAATCTGTCAATAACAATTCACTTCATTGTACATGCTACCAAAATACAGCCAACTGTACTGCTGGCTCAGTACAAAGTGTAGACTTCTTTTTTTGAAGTATTCTGTTAGTTCCTTTCCCTACTTTTTATACAAGTTGTTGCAAAAGGAATATAAATCTATAGTAGGAGTTCATTCTCACTTTTACCAGAAAACAGTAATTATGAATATTTGATGGCTGTTTCTTCCTCCAACAGTCCCAAACACCCCAAAGAATTGAAAGCATTAATAAAATAGTTACCTTAAAATAGAAAAAATAACAATCAAATAATAAAAAAATCACATGAATTTACACCAATTATTAATGTTGGGAGAAAAGCTAGTATGTTTAATAACATTAAAATTACATTGATTATGTAATAAATATTGATGCAAGTATGTCACTGTTCAAAAAATTTATTTAGGTCAAATATTTTTTTTAAATATGGCATTATAATCAGTTCAATTTATAAATGTTCTTTTTTTCTTAAGATTTATTTATTATTTTAGGAGACTAAGGGGCAGAGGGAGAAGGAGAGAGAGAATCTCAAGCAGACTTCCCACTGAGCACAGAGCCAATGCAGGGCTCAATCCCACAACCCTGAGATCATGATATGAGCCAAAAATCAAGAGTTGGATGCTTAATGGACTGAGCCATCCAGGAACCCCTAAATTTTCTATTTCTAAAAGCAATTATATACAGTTTAATATTTAAGTTCCAAATTAGTAATATAAAAAACTATTAAAGGATTAATAAACTAAGCAATAGATATATTCATTCTTTAAAATATTTAGGAAATTTTGAAACATGAAAATAATGAGGAACTGGAAAATAATTACATACCAGAGCAACTCCTACAGCAAAATTTTTATTACATATTTTTCCAGGAAATGTGGCTCCTATAAAACTAGGATATTTCTGGAAGCTAAAAAATAATAATTTTCCTCAGAATTGCATATGAGTGGTATTATTAATGACAATCATTTTCATAGCAACAAATATTACCAAACAATTACTATGCCCTAAGCTACTCTGAATTAAACTATTTAAGTACATTTTTCTCAAACCATCAATGTTAAGAGCAATTTAATATTTTGTAAATTTTAAATTTAATAAACATCTGGAAGTATAATAAGGATAAGGCCTAATAATTTATGCAAAAGGTTATTGCACTAATGTTTATAGCTTTTATGCTAGTTCCCTGTACATTTATAGCTCTAAAAATAAAATTTTCTGTGATTTTCTTATTTACTAATTCACTAAAGATTAATATATTTTTCTGCACATAAGATTCTAGAGCATGTAACAATTCCATATATTCATTCTATTAAAAAGTCAGATAAAGAAAAAGGTCAGATGAGAGACAAGAATGTGAGACAGCAGCAAGTAGTATAACTTTATAAACCAGAGGAAAACAAAGAAATTATATCACTCATAATTAATCTCTCTTAGATATTTCAGTACTTTTATGTAATTTTACTTATATCAGATAATTTTATGTCAGCTTATAAAAGTATTTTTTAAGTATTGCCTCACATCAGCTCCTTGAGGACAGACTCTTAACTTTTCCCATCCCATGATGCTTTTCCCATCCCATGAGGCATATCAAATTTAGAGCAACATAACATTTAAATGCTTATTTTTTATAATTAACATATGAGATCACTTCATTATTCCTTTAATGCTATACAAATATGGAATGCTGTACTCACGCAAACAAATATGTAACCTGATGAGGTCGCAAGATATGCTTGTATTTCCATTCTAAAAATCTAGATAATATATTATTAGGATCTCCTATAGTAGAAATTTTGTTTTTATTTGACCAGATTTCTATGGAATTTATTACAACAGTCAGTTTTAACTGGGAAAACATCTAAAAAAATAATAACAAATTTTAACATTATTTTAAACTTTCAGAAAAATGCATATAAAATAATTCAGTATTTTGATTTTGGGAATTTCAATAGCACAGCAAAATACTACATATCAATTCCTATTACTTATACTTTTACAAAACAAAAAAACAAAATAGTTTTTTAAAACTTACAGTGTTAACAAAGCCAATTATCTGAATAACCTTCTGTGTTACAGCCTTTATATCAGAGCCCATGTAATCAAACTGAAAAAGATAAACTATTTTTAAAAATTAGTGGATACCATCAAGAATATATTACACATCTTTTACATGCACAATGTGCTACATTTTAAAGTAGCCATAGGGCTACATTCCAGTTGAAATCCAGGAAATCAATAATGATGTATAAACAATGATTTCCAAAAATTAATAAGTAAATAAACTCAACTTATAACTTAATGTATATAAGAAGTAAATAAAAATATTTAATAACATGATTTTAATGTTTAGTGCACTCAACTTGTGGCATTACTTATTGCTTATAAAAATTTAATCATTAATTTTTTAATGTGGTATTTTAAAGTGCACTTATTTCTAAAATAACAACATATAATCACAAACCAAAACATATAAGCACAAAGAGGTGGAAAATCCTAAATGAGAGGTTCACTCTTAATGTGACTCTGGATACTGCGTTTGGTATATTCTTTCATATCACCATGTAACTCATGTTCTAAATTCTTATTCCAATAAGCTCTTTCTATGTCTAATTGCTTTAGAATGCCAAGACAGGGCAGCCCTGGTGGCGCAGTGGTTTAGTGCTGCCTGCAGCCCAGGGTGTGGTCCTGGCGACCCGGGGTCCAATCCCATGTCAGGCTCCCTACATGGAGCCTGCTTCTCCCTCTGCCTGTACGTGTGTGTGTGTGTGTGTGTGTGTGTGTGTGTGTCTCATGAATAAATAAATAAATAAATCTTTAAAAAAAAAAAAGAATGCCAAGACAATGTGAAATAACAATGGTGATGTCAGGTATGTGAGCTTTGCTCTGGATTTTTCATTGGAAAACTTCAAATATTTCATGATTTAATGTTCAGTTTAAGATGAGTATTCTAGATTGTGTTGAGAAAAAACTAAATCTTTTTATTTCCTAAATGTTTACAAAAAACAAGAGTTGAATTTTTATCAATAGCCATTTTGATGGTGATTGACAATGGCTTTTATCTTTTGACCTATTGATACATTTCATTAATAGATTACTTACACTATACCATCTTATTCCTTGATCAAAGCATTACATTCTATTAATTTGCTATCAAAATTAATATTTTATTTAGAAGTTTATAACTTTAATATGGACCTGTTTCTCATGTGTTTGTATATGTGCACACACTTTGTCATAATGATGAGCAAATGAATGTTGCTTAGTAAATATGAGAGCACCACTTAAAACTAAGTTGCATTTTTTCCTATGCCCTAAAATTGTATTAGTACATGAATTGTCTTGCCAAAACACTTAAAAACTTTCCTTTAAAACTATACCTAACACAGGCAACTGAAAAAAATTCTTTTCCCCAGCTTTTTATGATATAGTTAATATATAATATTGTGTAGGTTTAAGGTGTAAAACATGATTTGACTTAAATTCTTATCTCCCTTGGAGAATTCATTAAATTTGCACTTGTTAATTTTAATCTTCTCCAAAGTCATAGTTATATCATCTTAATCTTTACTAACATCATAATATGTATTTGTCCTTTTTGCTTAATTATACTTTCTACCATTTATTTTTCAACAACAAGCTCTTAAATTTATTTATTTTAATGTTTCTGTTTATCAACTTATGTTTTATTAACTATTGTTTATTCTCCTCACATTCCTCATTTTACGGTTTTAGATACTATCCTCTGTGGTAGGCATTCTAGCTATTTACCAATATTCAGCTCTCTTCTAGTTCAGGAGCCCTTCCTTTCTCAATATAGGCATGGCCAGTTTATTCACTTTGGACAATGAAGTGAGGGCAAAGTGATAAATGACACTTCTGAGACAAAGTATTTCTCTACTATGGCTCACGTCTGTCTGGTCTGCTCTTCTATTGGCTTGGAAATTGGGAGAGAAAACCTATTAGTAAAGAAATACCAAAAATCTTAAGCATTTGGAAGGCTGAGCCAACACATGGAAGACAGTTGTCTAGAGAGTCACCTAGATCCATGGCTGACATCACATGAACAAAAATTAAACTGCATTTAGCTATTACTATTTTGCTTTTTTTCTTTTTTGATGTCTGAATAATATTCCATGGTATATATGTACCACATCTTCTTTATCCATTCATCACTTGATGACATTTGGGCTCGCTCTATAGTTTGGCCATCGTTGATAATGCTGTTATAAACATTGGGTTGCATACATCCCTTCAAATCTGCATTTTAGAGCTAGAATGTATTTATGCTAAGTGAAATAAGTCAGAGAAAGACAAATACCAAATGATCTCATATGGTACTCATATGTGGAATTTAGGAAAGAAAACAGATGAACATATGGGAAGGGGGAAAAAAAGGAAAGAGGGAAACAATCCATAAAGGATTCTTAATGATAGAGAACAAGGGGCACCTGGGTGGCCTAGCTAGTTAAGTATCTGCCTTTGGCTCAGGTCATGATTCCAGGGTACTGGGATTGAGCCCTGCATCGGGCTTCCTGCTCAGCAGAGAGCCTGCTTCTCCCTCTCCCTCTGCCTCTCTCCCTGATCATTCCCTCTCTCTCTCTCTCTCTCTCTCTCTCTCTCTCTCTCTTTCCTCCCTTTTCCTCTCTTTCTCTCCACTCCCTCTCAAGAAAAAAAAAAAGAAAAAATTGACAGAGAATAAACTGAGGGTTGATGGAGGGGGAGGATGGAGGATGGGTTAAATGAATGATGGGTATTAAAGAGGGCACTTGTGATGAGTAGTGCATGTTACATGTAAATGATGAATTACTGAATTCTACTCTAGAAACCAATATTGTACTCTATGTTAACAACCAAAATTTAAATTTAAAAACATGCAAAGAAAAAGAAAAGGACCACATTAATTACCAAAATCAGGAATGAAAAAGGAGACATTATAGTAATCCAGTAGTATGCTATAGCAGGCTTATACTGGTTCACTACAGCTGATTTTTAAATTTTCAACCCAATTTTTAAACAGCTATTACTAAATTATATACATTTTCAACCAAGTTAAATTAAAAATAAAGGTAATAAATACATTTAAAAAAAGATTTTTTATCATAGTACAACCTAGCCTGCTATAATTAATCCTTATGCTCCAAATTTTTAAAATATTGTATGAAATTCATTAATTTCTAAATAACTTATAATTATAGTTTTGTTTCCACTCTGAAAAAGTTACTCATGATAGTATTTAAAATTTTTTCACTGTATTATTTTTCTTTATCTCTTTTAATTCTTGTTTTAGTATATTATGATAGAGTTTTGGCATATTGATTTTTACTTTAACAAAATTATTGGTGTTTTCCTTGTGACCTAGAAATGACTACTGATATATGTATTTCCTACAGACATCTTTAGGAATTTGAATATATGTGACATCTATTCAGAAGGTACAAAGGTAAATAAATGTTTAGTGAAGCTGGCTAATAAATAATTTGATCTCTGTTAACATGTTTTTTCCATATCTTTTTTTTTTTTTTTATGATAGTCACAGAGAGAGAGAGAGAGGCAGAGGGAGAAGCAGGCTCCATGCACCGGGAACCCGATGTGGGATTCGATCCCGGGTCTCCAGGATCGCGCCCTGGGCCAAAGGCAGGCGCCAAACCGCTGCGCCACCCAGGGATCCCCTGTTTTTTCCATATCTTAAAGGCTAAGAAAAATGCCTTAATGCACTCCACTATAGTTTTGGGTTTTGATATATTTCCAGAGGTTTTGTTTTTTAGTTTATTCATAACTCACTTGTCAACTAAGAGTTCACTATTAGAAATGCATCTGTAATTTGAATTGTGCTTTTCAACCTAAATATCTTCATTCTTCTACTTTAGGCTTTGTATCCTGAATTTACCTGTTAGTAATACCACCTTGATCATCTTTTTAATTGACAATCCCGGTATATTTTTGGTCTTTTAAAAAAAATTTTATTCTTAACAATGCCATTTTGTTTAAGTTGTCTCACATATATCATGTAAGCTGAGAATCTTTGCACTTTAAAGAGATAGTTAACCTACTCACATTTTAATCAATGGAGCTGATCTATAATTTTGTTTTCTTATTCATGTCTTCATGGTATTTCCTTTTGACTTTTGTTAGGTTATATATGAATATTTGGGGGCTGATTTTAAAGTTATACATGTGAGATTGTATATTCAGATATGTTTAAACATTGTAAAACAAGTTTCTCCATTTTTATCCACCAGACCACTTACACAAAACCTCTTATAAGGTAACAATAAAAAATTTATAGGACTTTGCAGTATTCAACTATTGTTTTCAAAATTCTTACTATCTCTTAGTATGAATTTGATGGATATGATTAAGTAAATGAAACAACCCCACACCCTGCCAAGTGATTAGAAGCAGCAGTATATTTCTCTTTCTTTTTTACTTAGTGATAAAGTCTGTGTAAATATTTTTTTGAAATACCTATTTCTTGTTACTCTGCTCCAAAATTTTTATATCAATTTATTGAGGTATAATTTACATACAATTACATTCAGAAGTCATTAATTTTGATAAGTACAACTTACTTTTTATTATGAAAAAAATCAGTATACATAAAATTTAAAATTCAAAGACTATCCTTATATCCTTCAATTAGATGAATCTAGTATAAATGTTAGATAAATTTCCATATATATATATATATATCTTATATCTGTTTATAGAGGTAGATCTGGGCATACATTGTTCACTTTTCTGGACTATTTGATATTGACTTGAAAAGACTTCCACATGTACTCCCTAAGAATAAGGATTTTCACCTGTTTGCCCACTACAGCATTATCATAAGGAAGAAACAACATTAGCTCAATAATATTGTAACATAATATTGCCAGAGAGTGAAGCTAATCTGTGGCCCTTTCCATTGCTGAATACAGCTTCCATCTAACCCTGCCAACAAAGAAACCTAACCAGAGCTCCCTGAAATCCTGGTAGCCCACCCAACAGGCCCAATTAGAAACACTTGAACAGAAAGCCTGGCAAGTGTCTCTGCATCTACAGAACCAGGATGATGGTCCTCACTGGCCAGGGAGTTGAGGTTGCAATTCTGTCTGATTAGAT